CCTCACATATAATACCTGAAATTATTGATTATTACTTAACTGATCCTTTCAGCAGGCAGCTGTTGATCAGTGGGAACTTTTTATTTTACATATTTATTCAGTATTTTTAAAATAAATGAAAATATTAATTAAATTACAGAAATATCCTGTGAATTTGTATGTTTAAACATGAAAGATCTATAAATAATCAAATAATTAATGATTATTATAAGAAAATTAAATGAAGTTAAATACTTTTGCAAACCTATAATTTTTTACTGATATTTACTGTTTATTTATTAGATAGCAGCACTCTGCTGCAAATGTGAACCTGATTATTTGTATTATAGCAGTATACAGTATAAACTATGATGTTTTGTTATAAATTAAACCCTTTAGACAAGTAAAGCTAAAATCATAATGGTCTGTACTTATATAGTTATAATTCTAACCATGTCACATTCACACTGATGGCAAAGGATTGGGAGAAATTTGGGGTTCAGCCTTTTGCACGACGACACTTCCACATGCAGAGGGATCGAACCACCAACCTTCTGATTGCACTGTTTCTTTTTTTTTCTTTTTGCACCGCCTACCACCTGAGAAGATATCAAGCTCTCCAAGCGCCACCATTATAACGGACCTTCAATTTATATACAATTCAGCTACAATCGCCTATTCAGCGACAGACTGTTCAGCAGGAGGCAGGTTTATTTCTAATAATTAGATTATTTATTGTTGACTGTTGACGGAACCGGTTAATCTACCTCAAACCATTCGCTTTACCTCCGCTAACTATCTTTCCTGCACAGTGTGGAAGATAGAGCTATTCCTGGTAGAATCAAATGTTTTCACATCATTTATTAGAGTACCAGCAATAAATAACAACTAACGTCTGAGGACATCGGTTTGATTTTACTTCCCTTTCTGGGTTGTAACATACATGGGGGCTCGTCCAGGATTGTAATTCATTTTAATTCCAACATAAGCCACATTGTTTGGTGGCCAACAGCCCGAAAACGCTTCTGTCGAGCTAAATTAATGGTTGAAAAATGGCCCGTTTAACCTTGATCACTTTACTGCCAACCCGACCTGTGAACAAATTGATAATTGCCTTAAGAATGAGCTAATGAGTTAATTATAGCAGACGACTTTGTGAAAAAAAAGAGCTTGAGGCTCAAGTTGTCTCGTGGAAATGAGGGTTACTGATTTGGTTGATTTGCTTGGAGCTCAGCAGCATCTTAACTAGCTAGCAGTTAGTTTTTAGGGAGAATCTCCACCATCATGCTGTTCCACACTCACACAGTTCACTGCCTCGTTTACCGGATAATCAGCCACATGTTGCAGAAAAGAGGAAAAACAATTCTCTTGCCAAAATGCTTTCTGTTCCTGTGAAAACCTCTAGTCACCAAAACAGAACATTATAATTCATACCCACCAACAGCTGCATGTAAATCAATACTGTCTCAGCACTGACGGAGATCTGATGTTACTGAGAGACAAAGTGAGGAAGTGTCATTTTCTAAGGATGGATCGGAGAATATGACTCAAAACAAATCAATAAACAGCCTCAAAGTTCATCCAAAAAAGAAATCCAGTGACTGTAATTAAAGTTAAATACGTCAAACACTACGTATTACTTTCACTTTACTTGTATTTCCAGTCTCTACAACTATAATGTCTACTACATTTCAGAGGGAAGTATTTCTGCACTAAATTCATTTACGAGTTAAAGACGTTGAGGTCTTCATTGTTTACTGTGACACACAAATTACACAGTGTCTAAAAGATAAAAGAGTTTATTTGCTGGCAGAAATGTTTTCCAGGCAGCGTAGAAAAGATAAAATTTACACATTCACACATTTCTATTGCCAGAAATGTTATATAATATCCATAGGTATGTTTCATTAGTGTTCAATCAGCTGATAATAAGAATCATTGTGTTTTTGTTACCTTAGAATGAGACGTTTTTTATCTACAGAGGAAGCGGGTCCTCTTCTAGTGGTGGAGTGTTTCTACAGTAGCCCAGAACGGACAAAACTAACACTGACTCTATATTGGGACTCAACATTCGCGGCCACCGTAGTTTCTCCAACACACTTGAAGAGCTCAGTACCAAGGTTCAAACTACAGGGGAGCCTTAATTTAACATGAGCTCCCCTTAAGTCTGTGAAATCTTTTGGGGTCTCTTATTTGTTGTAAATGTGATATTTTTTGCCACATATTTCTATTGTTTTGTATATTCATCACCATGGATCATGTGTAAAATTAGGCTTTTATTGATATATGTTATCAACTGATTATTAAATATTAAAAACGTGCTGACATAAAGACAGTTTTGGAGCGTTATTAAGACTCCTTCCAACGTACTATCATAACATGATTGGTACCGATGCATTCGTTAGGTTACCTAGTTTCATATCTTCATCCTATCTTTAAACCTGAGCTTGCTGAAGCCTCTGAAAGACGAGAAGGGGGGAGGATAATGGGGTGGCCAATCAGACTTCAGGTGCTGCCTCAGGCCCCCCCCTTTGGACACGCCCCTGGCTGGACACTTTACCGCCAGATACCACTAAATCCTACACACTGGACCTTTAAGTAATTTTGATGATTGAGTGTTTTTACAGCATAATATTGGTATTTTTACTTGAATCTGTAACTGGTTATAAACAGTCTCAGTTTCATACTAATGCCTCTAAATGACCGACATAAGCAAACATCATCATCTGTGTAGTAGAATGAAATCAGTGAAACAAGGGGTTATAAACACTACCGCTTTAGTCCACAGGATGCGCCAGAATCAACACAAAATGACAGTTCCTTGTTGCTGCTTAAAGGATTTGAATATTTCTTCCAGCTGCTAATATTCAAGATCAATCGAGCTGAAACTGAAACGACACGCATTGCAAAAGAAACCAGAGAGACGTATGGATGAACTATAATCTTCTGTGGATTAACTCTGGGCTGTGAACATCCATGAGCATCATACATGTAAAACAATGTAACGACATTATAAGAAAAATCTACTGCAAGTAGGAAATATACGAAGACTTTCAACCTTTTCAAAACCATGTATCTCCCATATGGTTAGTTTTATGTTTTAGGATTTTTTTGGTTTAGACAATTAAAAACCTTAAAATAAAACCATCCACGAAGCTAAAACCTGGAAGATTTTCTCAACTCATGTTGTAAAAATGTCTGGACAGTTTGAAGAAACAGAATTTAAATTAATTTTTTTAATTGAAATGAAAAGATAAATGATAAACTCATTATACAGAATGGATTGTTGCAAGTGTTGCAATATTGTATATTTTATGATTGGATTATTGTAGCTGATGCACTGAAACATGAGAAGTATTATAATAATGAAACCGGTCGAGGAGGAGTTCATTTTAATTATTGAAGCTACTGTTTAATCTACTTTCTCTCAACTGGGAGGAGACTTTGGAGCAGTTTCTAGATTGAGGAATAATCCCTTAAAGAACCACAACAATGTACTCAAAGCTGCAGTAACTATTCTCTCTGTTGTTTTTCATTCTGGCCATAAAGTTGTAGACCAACCCAGTGGTGTAGTGGAACATGGAGGAGTGGTGATACTTTTAATTTATGTCCCAATCTTTTGAAAGCGGCCGTCCGGTAAAAGATAAAAATCCTGTGTTGGCCAACAGGATTGAGCGCGTTGTATTTTCACATTGTTACTTCTGCTGCTTGACTTCAGGCAGTAAAGATAATTATGAAATCAACATTAGTCACAGGAGAGAAAACTACACAATTATGCAATTTGCGTAATTTTGCAAATGTCCCCCAAAAGTTCCCACTGACGAGCGCAAAACATTTTTGGTAGAAAATAAAAAAGCCCAAATAAAGAGGTAGAACCCTGCTGCACCATCGTCATCTCAAATGTTCAGAATCCATCACTGAAACACATCACGTAATAACTGGAAAACACTTTGTTCACAAGTTGTTCTTATAATTTAGTGAGAAACATGAGCTTGTTTGTTAATGATTGCATTGAAAATATTAACATTGAATATAAAATGTGGTTCATGCAACTTACATTAAAATCTTTTATTGAAATTATTTTAGGAATTGTGCATTACTGATGTTTTTTAAGTATATATTTTTTTTATAGTACTGCAGTACTCCAAAGTCCCCCTAGGGGTGTTTGAGAAACACAGTTTACTGACTTCATGTCACCGCTTGAAAACTAGTGAAAGATGTGAGAAGATTTAGAAATACTGATGCTGACTGAAAAATGCTGCATATACCTTCATATACCAGTCTGCATAATGCACAGTGGGAATACCGGACAAAATTAAGTAATTATGTTTCTTAATGAATCTATATTTTAAGTATTGCAACAGTCCAGAATATATGTGTATCAAAAAAATATTAAGATCTGAAATTCCTGACCAAATGTTCTTCATGTGTTTTTCTGGAAAATTATAAAAAGCAACCCCTAGTGGTTAAAACCTCACACTGCAGCTTCACACTTCAACTGACTGGAAACATTCAATGGACTGTACTTTAAGTACTGTAAAAGACATTAAATAAATAAATCAAGCAATGCATCACATTTTATCAGATCATTATATTACATGAAATTATTTTGACTGAAAATAACTGCAATCAAACTCAATAAGATTATTATTAAAACTGAAACTCTCCCAAATGAACAATTTAAAGTGTATTTCTTTTAAAAAGCTACAGTAGAAGAGCTAAGATCTTTGTTTTCTTTACTTTTTTGTTTCATTTGTTAGTTTTTTCATGTTTTGGATGAAAATCTAAAATCTAACTATAACAGAGCTTCCACATCATGTGCTGGAAGTATGAAAATGGAATAAAAACACCCAAATTCAGGCAAGTAAAAAAACTGTATTGTCCACATACTGGATGTGAAAAGAGAAACAGATGAGAGGAGAGGTGGAGTACGCAGGGAGGATAAAACACAAAAAAAAAGCAAAGAAAATTTTTAGAAAAAGCGTGAAGAGAAACAGAATGAAAGTATTAATTGTTCCTACCTTTGATTGTGTGAGTGGAGCAGATTCCTACACAAACAGGTGGATGTCAGTGCGCAAGGGGTCCGCACTAACAGGTGGTGAGAGAGAGAGAGGAGGAGAGCAGCCGAGTGGTCGAGAGAGGTAGGGGGGGAGGAGAGAGAGAGAGATCTCCCTCTGATAGATTTGGACTGTTAACCCTTTCTCCTCCTTCTCCTGCTTTTTGCTGTTTCTGTGTGTTTAATATCCTCTCGCTGAAGCCTCACATTCATCTGAAATGTCAACAGCAATGAAGCTCTTTCTTTAATCACACTACACATGTATTAGATTAACTCTCCCTCACTCTCTCTCCCTCCTTCTCTCCCTTCTTCCTGCAGATTGCAGGGTGGTTGGTTTGGGGGGGGGGACTGGAGGAAAATAATGTGCCAACAGCAGCATCTGTCTCTCTCTTCCTCTCTGTATAATTTGTGGTTAATGACGCCTAATGATACATGTGTGCATCCAGCTCACATAGGCTATACAATCACACATCCATGCAAAGCTGTTTATTTTTCTTTTTTACTCCTCCTTTCCAGGAAAGGGTGTAGATGATCTGACCCCCCCATCCCTCCTTTCCCTCCTTCATTTTTCCCCCTCGTCAACCTTTTGTTCCTCCTCTTCTCCTTCCCTCCCGTGGACAGACAGATAGGTGTCCCTGGGGTGAAGGAACCCCTCGTTAAAAAAAAAAAAAAAAAAAAAAACTGTCCATCCTCCTCCTCCTCCTCCTCCTCCTCCTCCTCCCTCCTCCTCTTCTCCTCTCTGCATCTCATCCACCCACACACTCTCTCTCTCTCTCTACCCGTCCATGCATGCCAAATGGACAAGGAAACCCTGAGTCCCCCCCCCGGACACATTTTTCATCGATACCTCTGTTCTCTTTCCATCTCTGATCTCCTGTGATACAAAAGCCCCGCAGGCCCCTTCAGAGGGAAATAAAAAATACCACCGCTGCTGCTGCTGCTGTTGTTGCTTTCTGTCTCGTAAAGCCCACATGGAATAATTCTTCCAGCAGCTGACAGTAAACCTCTCACTGTGTCTGCTTTGGGGTAAACACATCACCGAGTCGTGGTCAGAAGAAGTGAACATTGCTTTCTAAAAGCAGGTCTGAGGAGGTGTTTTTTGTTTTTTAATAATGAAAACATGAACTTTTGTTGGTTAAGAGAAGCCGTGTTTGCTGAGAGTGGGTGGGTGACATCTGCAGGAAAACGGATCCCATCAAGATGATGAAATACGAGTGTGTAGGTGTCGGATATTCAGTATATCCTACATTTATATACATTTAAGTTAATCTAACTCTGGTGAAACTGGCTGCAGTGTGCTGTCTGTAATAACTGGAGTACAAAAACAGGAACGACAAACCTTGATTGTTACAGTAATTCACTCAACCTGAAATTTAATTTGTAATTCCCTTCTGAAGAGAGATTATGTTGTGTTTGAATCTTCAGAGCTTTAAAGTCAATGAAAGGGATGTTGAACTCCAGCGTCTTTTTATGAGATATGAGATTAACTATAAATACAAAGAAGTTCTGATAATTAAACCACAGATGCTCTATCTTCCCACTGTTATTACAGACGGTGAACTCACCACAGACACTGTCCCACTGTTATTACAGACGGTGAACTCACCACAGACACTGTCCCACTGTTATTACAGACGGTGAACTCACCACAGACACTGTCCCACTGTTATTACAGACGGTGAACTCACCACAGACACTGTCCCACTGTTATTACAGACAGTGAACTCACCACAGACACTGTCCCACTCTTATTACAGACAGTGAACTCACCACAGACACTGTCCCACTGTTTTACAGAATAAACTACGACATTCAATGTTTTTATAAAACAAACTTTAATAAACGTGCTGTTTGTTGCATAGATGGATGTGTAGCTGTTATAATCAGGAATGTCTGAGGTTTCCCTCCAGGTGTCTCTGTAGGAACACGTAGCCACTGTTAGCTGTTAGCTGTTGGACCCCCCCACTCTGCCTCCTCCATTCATTCATCACTGACCAGCTGAGCGGTCTCTCAGGGGCCATTTTCTGAACCATGTGCTGTGTTTGCCTGAAACTCTTCTTCAACTCTTCTTCATTTCACCCGATGTTTAAATTCTGAGCAGGAAAGTCACAAACTAACACAACAAGACTCAGAAACAGACGAGAATACGAGTTATGATTAGTAAAAGTTATAATCTGTAACGTTTCCAGGAGCTGTCACACAAAGATGGTAGAAACCTCCTGAACCATGAACACTGAAGGAAACCTAACCGGGAGAAGCTGACTGCAATGACACCAATGGTGGTGAAGACAACAACTCCCATGATCCAACACGGCTTCACCACCTCATCACACTTCCTGTTTTGTTATTTATCGTTGCTCGTGACGGTTTCCCGTTGAAAGTGGAACTTCATCGCAGTTTTTTTCCCCTGTGATCTCATGTGCTTTCCACAACAGAGACAATAAAGTATTCATAAGCACATTCTGCTGCCCTCTAATGGGCAAAAGTGTAATACAAATCTAAAATGACCTCTTTCTGGTTTACTGTGAGCAGCTTATTTTCATGCCCAACCGAACGCTCACCACCCCGTTAATTATTGATGATAATGAGTCAGATAATTGAAAATGTTAACTGCCTCCTCCGTTCTTTGCCTCAGAGATATGTGCTGCCAGAGAACCGCTCATGTATTATGCAGATTGAGTGTTATTAACCCTAATGGCCCGAAAGAAATGAGACAATAACCATTCAGGTCTAATTCCATTTGCATTACAGACTGTTCGTCCTCTCGGCGTCCAGCGTCCACTGCGGCCCCGTCCACTCTCGCCCTTTGTTGCCCCCCGCCTTCATTACTGTTAACTCCTTCTAACGCAGGTACTAATCTGCATATAGTGAAATTGCAACTAAAGAAATCTGGCTGCTGGTGACAGAAAATGAAATGAAAACACATTCAGAGTAGACCGATATGACAAGTTGATGACCTGGTAATTAAAAAAAATCCTCTTCTTGGCTTTTCTAAAGAGTATAAATTCAGGCACACTTGTACTTTCTTTGCCCACTGAGTCCGTATTTTTTGTATGCGTTACATTAATCAACCCACCGACTGAATCCTTACGCAGAGACCTCGCTCTCTGATGTGCTTTATTATTCTATTTGTTGCTGCAGACTCTTGTTCTAGCAACTTGAAAGACCAATGAATGTTTCAGAGTCGGTGTATAGACATGAGGTTCATTTCAGCTTTATATTTTCAAATGTTTGACAACTTTTATGGTCAAAACAAGGCAAACGTATCCACAGAGGGGTCTGAGGGGCAGGAATGAACATACAGGACAAACGGGGTGAGGAGGGTAAGCACAGTGGACAGTCTCTCGGGAAGGAGTGGAAATCGGGGGCAGTACACTGTATATATATGCTGGTGGGCGGAGGTCAGTTACTGCGGGGCAGGAGTGTCTGGATCTCACCTGAATTTCAGTTTGTTGCTGATTCAACTCACGTCACCGAAACATCAGCACCCACTTTCTCATCACGTGTTTCTTTGAAAGCGCCATTCTCGTGGGTCCTTCTGCACTTCCTCCCCTCTTCACCATCAATCATCATCATCATCGGCAGGCAGCAGTGCCCCCAGGAACAGCCCAAACCTTCAACTCTGTGCGACATCATCAGTTATTCATGATGTTCAGTTCACTCCTGATTAATTCTCATCACCCGGTTTTTATCACATTTATCACCCTGAAGACGTCACTTGATTTTAAATCTGCTAAAACTCAGGAAACAGTAAATCTTCAAAGGGATTCGTTAGTTCCCCAAAACTCATCGCTCACTTCGAGAGCTCCTCGGGAAGATCTACGACAAACACAGAGTGTAAATAATAATGCTGCTTTTCATTTACTTGGAAGTCGGAGCTGGAAATGACATCACACCTGAGCTTGATCCATTATGACAGGTCGGAAAACCAATCTCCAGCCATTAGCTGTCGTTAGCAGTACAAGTTCATAACAAGGCATTACGCTGTGTGACAATACCGTGTGTAGTGCTAACAAACAGAATATTACTCGTTTTTTTACAGATGGAGCAGCCATCTTGGATTTTGAGGTCGGGGTCAGTGAGGTTCTTTTACTTCTTCTTCTCTTTGGAAATCCAACTTCAGTTAAAGTTTCCCGCAGATGGAAAAGATGTTTTCGGTCTTCTCCCGACTGGATTCAGTAAGAGTTTGACTGCTGTGGAGGTGGGTGTGGTTTACAATCAGCCACAGGAGAGAGCGAGGTGTAGGGAAGGCTTGTGAGAGCAGCGCCAGGTGAGCTGATGATCTCAGCTGGTACTCATTGAGTAATCACACTCACCTCTCTTAAGGCAGTAGTGAGCTGGACCTCATGGTTCATCCAATCACCTGTCTGTCCTTTACCAAACAGTTTACAACAATGAATGTTTCAGTTGAGATACACGAGACAAAGACAAAACAAGACAGACATCACTGTCGACTCTCTCTTAAATCTCTGGTGCACGTTAGAGTCATCAAAACTACAAAAATAAATGTGAGCTTTTGTGCATTAAGCTCATGTTTGTGAAACGTTTCATCCTCTAAGATGTCACTCACTCTCTAAGTTTAAATTGCATTTCCATGTAAGACTCCATCAGTCTGTTTCTTTCTGAGCTGAGGGAAAATAATTATAAAGGCATTAACAAACATGTTTCATGTACCGTCATCACGGAGATGGGAGATTATAAGTGTCCAGAAGTTTGCTGTTATTGTTACATTAAGCTCAGAAAGCCCTTCCTGGCATCCAAATGGAAATGTTGTGAAGTGTTTTAGTCTGAGGGGATTTTATGTTTCAGAGGGGATTAGCTTGTTGCTGTCAAACCAAATGTTGGTTTTTATTGTAAAGTTTTAAATCATCTGCAGCGTTGAGTTGAGAGAAAGACGGGACAAACTGTCTGTGAAGAAGTACCAGGAAATGTGGCAGCAGAGTAACAGTCAATGAATGACTTAATGACTTGATTTATGACTAAAACCTGAGTGGTCAACATAAACAGGCAGCAGACATTTTGTCCCGTCACAGCAGGAATAAACGACACTGATGTCCTCGGCTTTACTTTCAGCTCTTCTGTTCCTGCAGACTACAAACACAAAAGCTGGTCTTTCTCCTGTTTTACCAGCCGGGGGTGGACACTCTGCCCTTTGCAGATTAAACAGGTGATAATAATCTAATGAACCCTTAATTTATCTGACATTAGTCAATAATCTGTGGGTGTTCATTTGTAATGTGCGTGTGCGTCAGTGTAATTATGTACTTGTGAGTAAGTGG